TACTATTCATCTTGGAATTAATTTAATAGGTGGCCGATGCTATTTTGAACACTTATAAGCTCAAATTAAAAGCCTGCACAAAAAAGGGAACGAGCACACACACTTTAAACGAAGAATGCACCGTCGCGCAGCATTGCGCGACATCGTCCCATGAGACAGACTGGCTGTCGCGCACCATTGCGCGACATTGTCGTCAACGTGTTAAACGCGAACTATGGCCAACTTACTGAAAGACTGGAAGAACACGAATTCTATGCACTGATCGATACGGTTCAGTCAAATTCTGGTATCGCGAAGTCGTTGCTCCAACAAAATTAAGCCGACCAAAAAGTGGACCACCTGAAAGGGGATCTCTTCTTTTGACTATTCACATTACCTAGAGAGTGCGAAGCTCATCCTCAGTATGGAATGCCTTACCCTTTGACATAATGCCACCAATGCTCCTCATGAGAACTGTCATCAGTATAACAGGACAGTCGGCGGTGGCATAGACGAGCTGAAGTTGCAAAAGTTTTGTACAAAAAGAAAATTTCCGTGAACAAGCTTATTTACCTTGGCCGTTTCGTGGCGATTCCAGCCCCGTTGAGTTCGCAAAACCGCGTCGCTTGCCCATGTGGTCTGGGATGGACGGGACCGAACAATTTGCCCCATGGGCACAGTGCGACGCCGTGCGCTTCGGAAAGTTTGCCGATCTGAACTACGTGTAATGAGTAAAGGAACACGGTATATCACACTATGCAGCAAAAAAGACTTACCCCCAATCCCTACAGGGATTCTTGCCTGCTAGGATCGGCTGCACTCTCCGGAATTGCTGCTGTTAAAGCGAGCTGAAATGCAGTTGCCATTACCTTCTCAATGAATGAGTTCTTGGTTGGACATACCCCTGTTCCCCATTGGGACCGACCGCAGTATTCTTTCTGATCCATTCCTTTGCACAGAACGCGTCGTTATCAATTGCGATTGCCGTTCTAATCGTTTGCTGCCCATTGTTCGAGAGTTGGACTAGAATTTGACGCCAGGAGTTTCTGAAAGAACAAGCACAACAAAGCGCAAACGAACCCAGTGAGTTCACTGAAAGTAAATCGGTGACAAAGCCGGTAACCTCAAGGTTCCTTCTTAACTTGTAGTTTGTTCAACCTTGTAGACTTGATGACAAAAAAGCGGTCAAGACGTTGCCTTACTTGACCGGCTCCACCACCGATTATAAAGAGCAAAACTGCTTTCACATTTCCGACAGCCCCACAAAATCGCGAAAAACTTTAGTTGCACCCGCTTTTGGACTAATCGGAGAGATCGAGTATCGCTGAAGTGTGAAAGCAATAAAAGTATTATTAAATGGGCTTAGTCTCCAAAATTTCCGCAGCGGCATCGTTGGCTGCTTTGCTATCCTTCCTATTTTCGGAAGCAGAGGCGATAGAGCTGTAAAACTCGGCGGTCATTGTCTCTCATTGATCAGTTGCTTCAATAGGCAAAATCAGCTGTGCGTCGTCCTTTGTCCTTCTCCAATTCTCTTCGCTTCATACGGCTTGGATTCCAGTACTTCCAGTTCCGAAGGATTCTGTAAGTATTACCAGCCTTTCCTGACGCGACTGCTTAATGTAACAAATCTTTCTTAAAAGTAAGTGGATAAGCTGAAAATAGGTAATCTTGTGCTATATCAATGGGATGGAATCTAGGGGGAAGAAAGATTCTCTATTACTATGCTCTGGAGTGCAAGGAGGGTAGCCGGCTCTAAAGGCCCGCAGTGGTGTCTAAAACTTTTCAGCCACGAATTATAGTTTTTACACAAGCAACAAGCCTCAGGAGTGAAGGAGCTCTGGATGATTACCTCAGGCAAAAAGCTGGTATGAGGAACAGTTGAACATTCGGTTGACCAATGATTCCTTTTTCCAAAATAGTTAACGGTAGCGTGCTAGCATACTACGTCTGCTTAGGAAGCATCTTTTTTTCTTTCTTCTTTTTCTTCCTTCTCTTTCTCTTCTTATCTTTTCCATAAATCTGAAATGAGAACAAATCCATGAAATATACTAAATTCAGTAATACATACAGTTCACGGAACTACTCCAGGCGATCAAATCGAAAAAATTGACACGATATGAGGAATGAATGTGAAAAAAGAGAGAATAGAGAACGCGATTAAAACTAGATAAGCAGCTGCTTGTACCAATAGAAGTGGCGAAGAGAAGCAGATGATCCTATTGTACTATTATCCAACTTGATATAGCGCGCTATGTCTGTGACTGTGTGTCCGACCGGGAATTCATAACTCTTGTCCCAGTGGGCCTAGAAAGTTCAAAGTTGGAAGGAGTACAGGCGGCGGGATGAGAACACTCATGGTCGATAGCAAAACCAGACTCCGCTCTCAATGGGCGGGGATTGAGCAGAAATTCATAACTCCTGTCTGCGTGGACCTAAAAAGTTCAAATTCATTGGGATCACAGGAAACAGGATGGGAACACTTATGATGGGTGGCAGGACCAGACTCCGCCACCAGGAGGCGGGAATTGCGCGGCAACTTAGAAATCCTGTTGCCATGGACCTAGAGTGTTCAAAATAGGTAGGAGTACAAGCGGCACCATGAGAACACTTATGACGATGGCAGGACCGGAGTACGCCCATGGGGGGCGGGGTTTATGTGAGGAACCTAAACTTGAACCTACAGCGTTCAAAATAGGTAGGAGTACATGTGGCAGGATGGGAACACTCATGGAGGATGGCGGAACCGGACTCCTCCCACAGGAGGCGGGTTTTGTGCGAAAAACTTAAATTTGGACCAAGGGCGTTCAAATTTGATAGGAGACCGGCGGCAGGACGAGGGGGTTTGAGCGGAAACTAACACATCCTGTTCCAATGTACCTAGAGCGATCAAAATAGGTAGGAGTACAGGCGGCAAATTGGGAACACTTATGGAAGGTGGTAGGATCGGGCTTCGCCCACAGGGGGTGGGGTTTGCGTGAAGATTGGCAATTTAAACCTAGAGCGTTCAAATTTGGTAGAAGTACATGCGGCAGGATGGGAACACTTATGGAGGGTGGTAGGAACAGATTCCGCAAGTAAAAAGGCGAGATTTTCGATTTTGAAAACATTTTCAGTTTCGACCTGAAGCGTTGTAGCTCGGAAGGGGTGCAGGCGAAAGTATGTGAACATCAATGGTAAGCGATAGAAAGTGATAACGCTCGATAGAAGCTGATAATGAGCCTAAGATGGCAAGGGTCGCACGATTATTTCCTTTAAATTAACAGTGGAGGTTTGGCACTTAAGTAGGTGAGGTGGGATATGATGAGACCGTAGGCGATTGTTGACAAGGAAAGGGAACAAGCAAAAGGACGAAAAGAGATGGATAATAAAATCTGATGAGTCACATCAGCTAGAAAGAGTGAGAACAATTAAGAATAGTCTATCGAATAAGAAAGAAAGCAAAGGCAAAAAGAGGCATAAAAAAACAGGAAGCAAAAAATCAATGTAGTCATCGAGTGGGAGCAAAGTACATGGTTACGATTGATGGTGGCGAACCGTCATGATCGGCTGGTCAAAGTTATGGCCGGAGCAGTGTATAAATTGTAACTTCGTTGTACATTCATGGCTTCTAATAAAGGGCCTGCTCCGACCAACCAAGGACACAACATGAACTTCTGTATGAGCTATAGTACTGCCATGTCTACAGATTCAGAAACCTGTTTTCTGATGGGTCAATTCGAGAAAGCACTTGTTTGAAATGCTTATTCTGATGTGGATAATCCTTCTACATTAGCTGCTTCTAAAAAGTCTACATATGATCGGATTGACTTTTACTTGCAGGTTTTATCGATAAGTGGTGCCCAGGGAAAGTGACGATGTATGGAGAGGACTTCATAAGAATCTAGACGAATAAGAGCATCACTTATGCATCGGCCTGATTTAAGCTGGATAAGTAGAGTGAAAAAGCAGAAGATGCAGACAAAACAATGAAGTTTGATCGATGGACGGACCGAAACCAGCACTGTTGAGGACAGATCAGTCTGCACTTTGAACTTTGCACTGCGCAGTGCCAAACAAAACTGATGCTCAGATGATTGACTTACAGAATACTTGGAGTACACTTTTTGTCATTACGCTTCGGTAACATTCAGGATATGAATAGTTATTGATGGAACAGTACAATGTCACAGAGAGTTAAAAAAGCGAGCAGGAACACAACATAAATACCATGACATACCCATATGAATTCGATCGAAAAATGTTTGTCGAGCAGGAGCATCAAGAAAAATCTTAAGAGATTGATCGCCAAATCAGGTCCAAAAAACATTATTGCCAGGGACCATGATTTTCTCAGCTTCCCAGATGTAGAGACATTCACGTTCATTGGAAAAATCTTTCACATTTCAGAGTAATTGGTCACAAGCTGCTCTACTTCTACGTGGACAAAACAGGTGGAGAAGATTGATATGGGTGGATTTCCCCAGAGTTCATCGACAGGTATAACACTGCATTTGCAAAAATGGATCTGTGTAATGTAGCGCACAGCACTGAGCGAGAGAAATCACAGGGATTTCATAGTAACTAAATAATCAATGAATATAATAACGAGAGACAAGCAAATAATGGTAAATGATCATAAACAAATAGAATACACATTATTAACGTTACTATGAGCAAATTGAAACAGCTAGGGAGGTCTCCTCTTCGATTATTCTGTTCCCCTAAGTGCGTCATCACTACAAAAAGCCACCAGTTTTAGAAGTTTTGTAATTTCGGAGCGCAGTGATTGTGCAGCTGCTGACTAGCCTCTTCTCACTAAGGACCGAATCTTAGCGAGAAAAACTTGATCCCATTTGTTCAAGGGTCCAGCTAATTTTCTTGCATTGTCAATGAAGATCCAGACTGCTGATTTGGGATCGAACCGATCACCTAGGGCAATAGTTTAAGTCGCTCACACATGGCGTATCCGGCGGAGAAGGCTCTTTGCTCCGACGCTTCCGGAATTCACATTAGGCTTTGCAGGTACAACAACTCGTATGATTCTGGTAAGGAAGAGCATTCCAAATTCCATTTCTAATGAAAAGGTAAAGAATACGAGGAGGAAGGACGAAATCATCTAGGGTTTGCCCTTGATGTCACAAAATTCGCCGAATGGGTAGGAGAGGAAATTATTTGGGTAAGTCGGACTCCAGCATAAATAGAAACAACGAAGCAGTTATGTTGAACCAGTACCTCCCTGGGAGTCTTCAAAAACCACGAATTGACCACGAATGATAACCACGAATTTAACCAATAAACTGTGTCATCGTTACATAGTGCAGAGCGGCGGAAATGGATGGGAAGAATCTGGAAAACTCACACTTGTCAAGGACTAAGGGAGGCAACCTAATCTTGGACCAAGGAATGGAGTTTTCACAATGGAGCTTCGATATACGACTGTGTGACCACCTTCAAAGCAACTAGTCAGACGTTGTATCCAAAATGCATTCGTGGTGGTGACTTTTTTCGGACCAGAGGTACGTGCTCCCAGACAAATCTCTCTACAATTGAGTCTTTTAGGGCGAATGGACGGTACTCACAGCAAATGAATTCCTTACAGTACTGCGGTAAGGTATGGCAGCATCGCTATCCAGCTACATACAGTATCCAGCAAAAGCAATCGGCTTTGCCATCCAAGCATTCAGCATCCATTTGTCATGGAGGTTCTGAGACTACATGGAACGGAGAAGTCGGTAGGATAGCAATCGTTGACAGCGCCATAGAATTCCCCCTCAAGCCACTTAGAACGCTAGAAGGTTTCTGGCTGCTCTAACTGAATTTCACAGCTCCTCCTTAAAGTTCTGCGATCCATCGAAGCAAACAATTAGGATGGGCGACTCAGAAGTGATGGCCATTTTGCTTCTGCACCTCTGTCCTTCTGCAGTTCTGTCCAACGG